CGATACTGGTTTCATTTCACTAGCACTGATGTTTGCGCTGACTTACTTGACGACTTGACGTTTTGCTGTGCTGTGCTGTGTTCAGTGGTAATGCAGGAAAACCGTCGTCACTCTCTTCACAGAACTGCTCAGCTTTTTTGGGAACACGTATATGCGTAGCATCTTAAGACGCGCATCACATTGGGAGTGGCCGAACTGCCTGTTGACTTAGGGTGAGCAGAACTTGTGAAGACCACCTTGAAAAGACCTGGAAAGTATTCTACAACCAATACTATGTGGAGCTCATACCATATCGTGAGCTTGGAAGAGTTCACAGATCTGATCAAAGCGCTTTGGCGAAGCTTGTTCCACTTGGCGGGTATGTGACAAGAGGATTAATTTACCGCGCTGGTGGGCGTCGCGTGCGACGTCGCGCCCGCAAATGACGATGGTTCCAGGTAGTAGATGGCGACAACAGGCAATTCAGAACCGAAAATAGTCATCCGAAAATAGTCATGAATATCTACGATGACGGGGTCTACATGAAGTCGGGGGCACCCGGGCGATTCTATCGTCGGCAAGTCAGGCGACGCCGCACACGCCGCGACGCGGCAATCCCGGAGTTGCATTACCGTACTCCCGAGTTGTCATTGGAGCAACGGCCACAGCAAGCTGTGCCTCTTTCAAATTGTTAAAGGGATCGTCGACCCTTTAACAATTTGAACGCCACGCAACAAAACTCGTACGCGGCGGCCGCCACGCCGCCTCGCTCCGCCCACCGGCGCGACGACCCGACGATAGAATCACCACACACCCCAAAGTACGACTCTCCGTCTCCCCCACTTGGCTCCTTCAGAAGAGTCCCAAGGTGAGGAAACTGAAACAGCTTTCAGAATGCCCCTCCTTCTCCATTGAGAGGCGGATAGCGTTTAGACTCTTTCCTTCCAGTTGTGATTCCGGTGCACCTTACTTCCTCGATTCTATCTGCTCATTCAGTTTTTAATAGAGCGTACTAAATTCTAGTCACTTGTACACTTCCGTTTGTTCTTGGTACTTATTCTTGATCATTCTTCTTCTTGATCTC